TTATATTACTATTATATATATATATATATATATATATATATATATATAATATGGTACACGCATGTGATATCTTGTCCGGCTTTCCAATCTTGAGTTTGCGTAGAGCATAGGTCTACGGAGTGGCAATGTCTTGTGCGATCCTTCATTTGACAATCACTAAACATTGTGTTATACTTGTAAATCGATATTCCGCCCATCACCGTGATTTGATATTATCAAAATAGGGATGTATTTTAAAAGTATGGGTTATACAGTTTATAGTCAAAATATATTCACCAGACACAGGCAGTGTCAGTCAATCTTGACGTGAATGAACGAATGAAAATACACAGACAGCTACTCTTCCTCGTTTATGTCGTTCCCTAATGACTTAAAGCGTTGAACGTAATTAAGTGACCGTACTGTTGGTTTAATAACGAATTAAAATTTCATTATGTAGGGTTATAAATGCTTTAACAGTTTTTTCACTACAACATGAACATATTGTAATTATTTCCCACCAATAAGCAGCAGCTGTTTATCGGTATATTCTTTTAGCAGAGATCATACTTGCTTTATGAAATGTGTTTTTCTACATTCTTGATGTAGCGATCGAGGCATCGCAATTTCGTAGCACTAACGTTCCTAGACAGCATTATTAAAAAAAAAATTACATATTACAGTAGCTTATCAATAAAGAAATAGCGCCGATGACACCCTTTTTTCTCAGCCGAATACCCAGGGCCGGATCCAGGGCTGAAGCTAGACAGTATTTTTTCAGATTCTAAAAGCACGTCCCCCCAAAAGGGCACACCACCCCACGGTGGGCGCCGTTAGGCGCGGAAGCACATGGCGGGGGGTCTGGGGGGCCTCCCCCGTGAAATTTCAAAATTTCAAGGGTCCCTGGGCACAAAAATGAGCACCCTTTTTTAGTCAAGCAGCAATAGCTAAAAACCATATGGAATTTTATTTCTGCATTTTGCCTGCGCTTTGCATACCAGCAATTAATGCACAATGATTCAAGCACTTCCCTTCTTTTTCAGATATCAAAGCTAGTTTTGTTACCATGTAAAGTTTTGATTTTCTTCAAGTCCTGTCAATGAATCAGATGAAAAAAAAACAAATAAAGAATATAGCCAAATTCCATCAAATTGTTTTCTGTATTTTTTAGCGCAAAATTTCGAAGGGCACTTTGAAATCTAGACCGTATTTCCCAATACGGCAAACACGGTCTGAATCCGCCCCTGATACCAGTCCATGATACATTACGTGCAGGGTAAAGGATCTCTTAGCATGTAGTGCACTGTACTGATATCAGCTTTCTTGAATAAGAATGGGCGAATTGTAGACACGTATAATTATACTAGTATATTGATCAGAATGCAAGCGTACATGTGTATAGGAGCGCTTATAGACTGGGGCATCCGGCTCACGATGCGATTAATATGGCTGTCCGTATGCAAATCAATGCGCCCTTACAATGTCTTCCATTTTACCCTGCCGTGTTATTAGCTGTCACGGAGCGTGAGCGGCTGTATCATTTACATATAACCGACGCTCAACGCTGGGACGCTCTCCAACTGCCCTAATTCATGCGGCGGCCTGCATTCACGAGTATCGGGACGTATCGGGGTTTGCATTGCCACGCGGATTAATATCATCGGGTAATATAGCTTTTCTACAACCTCGCCGTACAATAGCTGTGACGTCAGCGGTGAAGATCATTAACGTCAGCAGCCGCAGACGTTACTGGAATTTTCTTTCGTCTATCGATTTCCGTTGTATTTTAAATCGCATTTTAATGTAGCTACGTCGTCAACGTTCCTCGCTGTATTGTTGAGCTCGGTCCCGTAAAACGGGAAACTTAGAAAGCGAACGTAAAACAGTAGAACATAATCAATAGCAGCCAGGCGGCGAGAGGTTACATAATGGCTGGTTAAGTCCAGCGGTCGAACGGTTGACGCAGGCAAACTAGCAATCAGCAGCGTTTCATGCGACGCCCCATGGGGCAGGCTTAGCCTAACCAAATCGTTATGTAACGTAAGGGCAGCTAGGCTATGACCAAGTTCACTATTTGACGTCCCCTTGTTGTTAGTATCGTTGGCAGTTTTATAATTATCTGAACAAGACAGTGACGTCACATTTGTTTCAACGTACTATCCGAAAAACGTTATACATTCTCCCAGTGCTCGTCGTATGTGAACGACTCCTGTTATCCGTTTAATCTAGCACGTGACGTGTCTTATTCTCTTTATCCGCTAGGCGCTGTTCACCCGCACATTGGCACGCCTTCACCCTAATAATTATGCGCTATGCCGGTTTTCCCTGCCAGTTAGGTGATGTAATCAGGGTCGTAGCCTCTGGGGGGGGGGCAAGGGGGCAGCTGTACCCCTAGATTTTGGAGCAAAATAAAAAAATAAGCTTAGCTAATAATCGTAAATAACCCTAACGTGATTTTCTGGTCACTTATCCGTGATAGCCTTGGTTCAGACCCATCCCTACCACACAATGGACGTCGATCAAGAGCTGCGGCCGTCGCTCATCATTACGGGAGTTGCTAGAACACGGGCGTCGAAGGAGGGTCACGTGATGTGGCTGCACTTGTGTTAAGATTAGGGTTAGGGTCAGGGTTAGGGTTAGGGTTAGGATTAGGATTAGGGTTAGGGTTAGGGAAATAAAGCCATGTCTAGCACGGAAGTATGACTGTGGAATCTTTCTGTGGAAGATTAGGACTTTGAAGCGTACGAAGTGACTAGTGCTGCCACGTAACGGCAC